AGAGAGAGAGAGAGAGGTCGGGCGCTCGGTCGATCAATCGGGTCAAAGGGCAGCGGGAGGTGGGTTATTTACGTAATATCCGAAAGTACGTTTAATCATTTCGGAAAAAAAAAATATTATATTACAAGAGGGCGGGGGAAAAGGTGGTTAATGGAATTCCAGGATTCGATCGGGGGATTCCCCCTCGAATATAATTTAAAGCCGGAAATTCCTTTCTCGAAACCGTCGATTCGGGGAGGGGGTTAAGCCGTCCTTCCATTTTCTTCCATCGACGCGTTATAACTCGTCGTTCGATGATACGATAAGAAAGATAAATCCTTTCTCTCTCTGAATTTGTGCAAGATCGTTATATATATTTAAATAATTCATTTTTCACGAAAAATTTCTCTCGACGAACGAGCGCGCCCTTTCAACACTGTTTTCATTCACTTTAAACGTGCACGCTTGGAAACACGCGAATTAAACCGCTCGAAATTTCACCCTCGACTCGCGAAAACGGGCCTCTTGGATCCCTTCCTCGAATGATTATCGTGACGATGGCTCCCCCTTCGATGATATATATTCATCTGAAACGGTTTTCGATATCCGGCGAACCGAGCAATCGTCACGAAGCGCGAGCGCCAGAAGAGACGCTCCGCTTCTCTGAAATGGTACGCGAAGAAGAGTAGAAAGAAAAGAAAAAGAGTGAATGTCAGAAAAATCAGAATCAATAGTAACAATAGTGGTAGAAGTCTGAGGTGCAGTGGCTGACGAGCAAGAAAGGGTTTTACGTATTGCTAATTACGTACAAACAGCGTGGATTTTATTTCTCGTGGATCGTGTCAAGCGTAAGTCGATCTTCGTGGATGAAGAACGAGAGCAAAAGGAATCCGCGCAATCCGACTCGATCGACGAGAAATCCACATCGCGTGGAGTTCAGATGCATTGGTTGAGAAAAAACCAAGAGGAATAATTAAAAAAGCGAAACGATAGATCAAGGACACGATCCTGACGAAATCAGGACGGTCCTACGATCTTGGGACCAAGGATCTTGACGAGGGTACCTGAGCCACACATGGGCCGGGCTGCTCGCAACTGCATTGCCGTTTCACTCGTTAGCAGGGCTTTCCATCTCGTTCGTTGTTCGCACTTTCCTGATTGGTCAGAGACTGATCAGACATAAGATCGGTCGTGCATGATCCGTTTGGCGATCATGTCCTAATTTCAACTTCAGCCCTTCAACGTTTGAGATCTCTCTCGCGTACGAGCGATTACCAAAACAGCTTGCGTCTCACTCATCCCATTCTGTACTTTTTTTCTTTACGAGTATTTTATTTATACGCGTTGTAACTGCCGAGATTGCATCTCTGATCGATTCCTTTTTTTTCTTCTTCTTCCTCTTCTTTTTCTCGATTCGATTCGTGATTCAACCTTTCGTTTCTTATCAAGTATTGAGAGATCCGCCATTTTGACCGATTATCCCTTCGTTAAAGGGCAGGTATAGAGCATCGATCGAATGATTTATGCACGATACTTTGGTGCACGAAAGGTGGAATCCAACGGTCAATAATAAATCGGGGGAGGATGGGTATAGAGAAGCAACGAAACCTTCGATTTGGACAACATTCCTCCTCCTCGATCGAACTTTATCGATCTACACACGACGATTCTAATACGGGCCGAAGAAGGTAGAAAGAGGTCAGAGCGTATAGAAATTTTCCATCTGCCTATCTATATGTATTTTAAAACATGGTTTATGAAAGATAATCTTCAGAAATTATTTTTGTAAAATTTTTTTTCTAAAACTCTGCAACGTGTTTAGGAATTTAAATATTAATGCAGCACTGTGTATGTACATTGTCAACGTATATCTTTATATGGCTTGTTGAACAATCAATTGAGCACGTCTCTGGAACGTCAGTTGTTGGAATCTTTCAGTTTAAATATTTATGACGTTATGGCAGCTAGAATTCATTTTCGCTGGCAGTGAAAATTAGAACGTTACTCTCTTATCTATTTGAAATTACTTGAATTACGTAAATTTAAGGAAAAAACAATTTCATTTAATTTTCAAATCTCATTGTAAATATAATTTAAGGACACGTATCTCCATTCCCATTGTCCCATCGCATTAAGCTCCACTAATTTCACAATTTCGATACTTGTTGCGTGCGCGTAATCTTCTAAATTTGATCGAGAAATATCGTAAACAATTCTTAATCGAATATATCTTATATTACACATATTAAAAACTTGTTTCCACCAAACTATACTTTAAAGTAGAAACAAAAATTAGGCAAAAATTAAAAACAAACGACGATATTTGAATCTCGATCTAAATTTCTAAAGATTCCTCCTCCTCTCCCTCGTCACGATTCGAATCCTGATGTAATAATAAAAACTTCGCAGTTTCAAACCCCTTATAACGACGTATTCTGACAATATCATCAACGTATTCTGACAATATCTCGAACAAAATCCCTCCATTCACGATTTTTCACCTACCAAATATATCCATCCATCTATCTGCCTATCTTGGCTCGGCTGCCAACGATGCGATTAAACATTCTGTTTAACACGGAGCAGGTGCATCGATAGCCATCTTACTTTTTCATCGTGGGATCACTTTCCAAAACACGCCGATACTTCCCCCGATAAACAGACTCTTTCGCCTCCCCTGATCGTATCGCGCATCTATCTATCTACTTTCCGATACTTATTCCTTCCTTCTTTCGAGCCGAAACGTGGCGGAAGGTTTGAAAAAGGAACACGATCGAGATCTTGGAAATGTAGAGCAACGAGTGGAGAATCGACAACGTTGCGGCAGAGATGGAGAGGAAAATGTAAAGTATGTATAGGGGCGATGGAAATGAATGAAAAGGAAAAGGAAGAAAGTGGCGATGATGTTGAAGAAACGAGTTAAGAGATTGGTGGTTGCAAGAATATAACAAAAGGCGTGACGAGAAGGATAAAGGAAGAGATGAAAAGTAACGCAAGAAAACAGAAAGGAAGAAACTAGACGATGATGATGCAACGAACAGAAACAAAAAAACGGAAGCGACAAAAATAATCCAAAAAATAGGCAAGAACATAGGGGATTTGCAGTGGAAAGAGGCGGAATAATAAAAAAAAAGAAAAGTGCTACGATCGAGAAAAAAGAAAATAGAGAAGAACGATCGAGCAAAAATAGAGAAGAGAGGAAATTCGGCGGAAAGAAAAAAATAAAGAAGATGAACAGTGCGATGGCGCAGAGGGAGCAAAACAGAACGATAAAAAGGAAAATATAGTGGTTCGAAAACAACCACAAAAAACGATATAGAGGGATATAGAGATTGGAGCAAGGGAATGATAGAAATGGACAGAAATGGAAAGTTAGTGGAATCGAAAAAAAAAAAAAGAATAGTGGAAGGGAAAAGAAATGGGGGATACAGTCGAGGAGAAGTAAAACGAGAAGTGGTGGAATGTAACAGGCACAAATGGAAGGGTGGAGAAGAAAACGAGGCGAGGTAGGTCGATTGTTTTGCGAGAAGATCATCTCTATCCCCGTTACAGGGATCTGTAACGATTCGAAAAGGGTTGAAGGAAGACCGGGTGAATAGCGATTTCGAAAACTGGCCGAGAAATAACCATTCGCCGAGACGATCCCCGACACTCTCGACTTAAGTCTAGATTGCTTCGATGTGGTCGAGCGTGTATATTGGATTTTCGGATATGCATGCGCTAACGTGGACTTTGACTATCGTAAGAAGGTATAAATGGGGAACAGAGAAACAGAGAGAGAGAGAGAGATATGCAGCTTCTCTTTTAACTTCCAACCACCCGAGATCTTATCGGGATGGAATCTTCCCTCTGTGTTTATCATAAATTTATGGAAAAAGTGTGGCTTCGTTGTGGATTGGAATGGAAACTTGAAACAAGATGCGGCGTGTTATTATTTTTATTGGAAATTGGATTTTTGGAAATTTTATTTTTCGTATATTATTCTATTGGCAGAATATTTTTTAACTGCACTTTTAAATATGTGTTTAAATATTGTTTTCACATTACTTTCTTTTAGGAGATGGGTTATATTTAATAAATTGATCGAATTTTGTTGTGCCCGGTAATTGAAATAATTAATAGGATGGTTAAATGGTTAAAATCTAATCAATTAGAATAATATATATATATATATAGTATGGGAATGAAAATTGGGAGAAAATTTTCAAAGCGTGAATTAATTAATGTCATTTAAAGTTTTATGTAGTAGTAGAATAATATTAAATTACGCATAAATAATAATCTTAAATAATTACGGAGATAATTGAACTTTGCATTAAAAAGCATAAATAAAATTATGTTTAAATTTTCACGTTTTACTACACCTCGGATAAAATTAAAATTTATATGTTTAATATATATATATATATGACAATGAAATTTTTTATGCATAAAAAACATACACAGAAATAAATACAAAACGATCCAAGAATAATTGGTTTATATCGTCGAGGTGTTCAAAAATTCATCCAAAATTCGATCCGTTTAAAAAACTGTGATCCAACATTATTCCACTTTATTCGTGTCTATTGTTAAATCCCACTAGAAAACTAGAGACTGTAAAATGCACGTAACAATTTAATCGATAGATTTAGCCTATATTTAGTCCTTAGATTTCATTGTGCTCTTTATGACAGAAAACCGTTGCGGCGTGATAAATTTCACATTAAAGTCCCCGCACGCAAATCTCAACAAACGTTTAATTAAGGTTAATTTGTAAATCCACCTCGTCGAGGATACAGGGAATTTATTTTACTTGTGACAACTAATTAGCTACAAACTACGGCACCCATGTAACCCATTCCGATTTATACAACAGGAAATTATAACCTCTCTATGAAACGATTCCGGCTGGAAGGGAAAAAGTCTTTTAAAATTCATCGCGTAATTAGTCGTTGCATCTCAAAACTTTGTTAAAATACGAGGGATGCACAAAGAGTACACGCGGAATAGGTAAACGAGATGAACAAACGAGCAACTTCCATTTTTATCCCTTCTCATTTTTGTCAAGGATCATATGCAAACATCTTTCGCTTTTACATTTCGCTCTCCTTTCCAGATTACGTTCATCAAATATTTTTCTCGAAACGTTATAACGCGTTATAACAGTATAATACAAAAATTGAAAAATCTGAAATCTTTTTGTTGAAAAATTATCAAATATTTAAAGCGTATATTCAAAACTATATAACATTTCAAAGTACAAATATCTCGAATCACCCGCGATTCTCAATCTCCGTTCGAATACCAAAAATTATCTCAACGCGCAAACCCCTCCTCCATCGTTTTACCAACGATCGATAATTTTATCCGATAAGCAAGAAACGAAAATGGAAAAAAGAAGAAAAACACACAACACCGGGATAATTAAATTACGTATTCTCGGTCGTTAAAATTCTTCTCCTCGACGAGCTTAATATTCAAAACGAAGAACGGTCGGTGTTTCAGCGCGCGGCCGAACGCCAGCAAAAGGTACACGAAAGAAGAACGAGGGGCAAAGCGTGCGGCATTCGGCGGAATTCCATTAAACAAGTTGGCGTGGATCGGGAAACAGAAGGAACACGCGATGGAAAAACGAGGAGGGAAAGAAAGAGAAAAAAGAGAGAAGGAGAGGAAAGAGAAAAAGGGGGGGGGGAAGGAGTGGTGGATGAAACGTCAGCTTTCGTTGCCGGTAGGTTTATTATAAACGGCCTCGTTTTCCTCATTTCGCAACACGGTCAAGTGGAGCATCGCGTGGCGAAAAATAATTTGCGCCTTTGCGTCGAGAAAGCAACCGAATCAACCGAATTCTTCGAGGGAGGAAAAAAAGGGAAGGAAAAAAGGAAAAAAATATATATATACAGAGCGTAAATACGATTGAACGGAAAGTGATTTATATAGAAATAAATCGGGAATAGTAATTTTTTTTCATTTCGAGCTTCGTTCTCGAAATACTCGAGTTACAATGCAGGGAAGTGGCCGACTCTTCTGATGAATTGTATTACACGGATCATCATCGATGGAATGTTATTTTTACGCGCGAAAGATAAATAACAAGCGTGGAATGATATTTTCCTTCAAATTCTTATTCGCGAGAGAATCAAAATCAAATATAGGGTAATCGAGTGTTGGTATAAATTTTTAAATTTCC